TCTGTTGGGGCCTCTCGACCCTGCTGATTGTGGGGTTCAAGGATGAACCTGCCACGTACTTCCCTCTTGGTAATCATTCTTACCGTTTTGCTTGGTGATTGGGGGATAAGAAAGCAAACAATGACATTATTGTGCTCAGTTACAAATCCACAATGTCTGCCTCCTCTTAAGAAACATCTGTCACAAGTCGACGTGGTGCACAGAGCAGAAGAATTTTAGGCCGATGAGACTGAATAATTTATATGGCAGAAGCGCTGCGTGTGCGACAGCCTCTGTAAAGAATGGAAAATGGAGTAGGTGAAGAAAAGCAATTACCACCCTTATACCTTGTGAGCTGACCCCTAGGTATCTTAAAGGATGCTTTCTAATTTTAGCCCAACGAATAGGTGCCGGGCCAATGGATCAAACTGCAATGGCAACATTCATTCCCGCCAAGAGGAAAACACTCCCTGGCCCTCAAGAGAATGTGAAGATGTGCTGTGCCTGATGCCCGAGGCTTTATCTAAGGTTTCTGAGGGTGGGCCCAGGGCTTTCACTGCGGGCTCACAAGGGCAGCACTCCTGCTCATCGAAGAGGCCCCAGAGGCCCTTGCCAACTCATGTGCCGTTGGAGCCCCTTCCTTCCAGAGTCAGGTTAGAAAAGCTCTCGATGGTCATGCTTGCCTACCTTGGTTACCCCTCCGTGAGAGATGGGCCTGCAGATCTGCAAACACTGCTAAGCTGACCAGCACCCTCGCACACCCTTGGTGCCGCAGCTGATTAATCCCTTCCGAGGCCGTGTGTGTGCAGAGGTAGGCCTTGAGGAGACATCTCAAGACAAGACTCAGGTCTTCCTGGACCTTGAAACGGGTTGCTTGCTGACAGGCTGTTAACAGTGCATTGAAGGCATCTCATGCTGTTTTGGGAACAGGTCTGGGGCCACCTCATCCACATAGGGGCGTCCAGAATGGCTTTCTGGAAGAAGCAATAGCTCTGAGAAGGAGGTGGAAAGAGTCTTGGGAAACTAAGTGAGACTGTATGTGTTTGAAACCCTGGTGGTGCTGTGGATTAGGTGTTGGGCTGCTAACCTCAGGTTTGGTTGTTCAAATCCACCAGCTTCTCAGGAGAAAGATGAGGTCTCTGCTCAGAAACCTACCTAGGATCGCTGTGAGTCTTGTGTGAACTGTTCGTTCTTCTCTCTTGCTGAGGAGAAAGACAAAGCAGCACGGCTGGCCTGTTCTGCCGGAGCCTGGACTCTCCACGGGCCTTGCTTTTCAGCCACTTTTGATCGTAAGCAGAACAAGGGTAACGTGGTCTGCTGGCTGCTAACCGAAAGGCCGGTGTTTTAAGCCCATCTGTAACTCCATGGGAGAAAAATGTGGCAGTCTGAAATTGGCAGCATTTCCTATTTTATTTAAAAGTTTTTTTGTGTGGTTTTAGTGAACATTTACAGAGCAAACTGATTTTCCATTCAACAATCTGTGGTAGGCAATTTGGTTTTACCAATCATAGATCAAAGGTTAGACTGGACCTTCCCTGCTGTCTTTCTCCTCTCACCCCACCTCCGGTCTTGTTTACATCTCTGTTAGGAGATTGTGCAACTCTTTCTTGATTACCTCCAGTAATGGGAGAGGTTCACCACCTCATGGAGACATTGAGAGTCATGGCTGCATGCTCATTAGAGGCTGAACAAGACAGACTTTGGTCTGAATTTAAATTTGACCAGTGTCTGGCAGTGTGATTTTTGATAAATAATCCAGTGTTTCTAAATTCCATTTTCTTAACCCAAATAATGACAATTAGAGTTTTACATCTCTACCTCACATGGTTGTGATGAGGATTAAGTGAAATAATGTAAGCAAGCTTGCATTCACTGTGCTTGTCATAAAGCGAGTGCTGAATCAATGTCAGCTTTGAATGTTATCAGGAGCCCTGTGGCACAGTGGGGTACGGTTGAGCTGTTAATCATAGGTCAACAGTTTGAACCCCCCAGTTGTTCCTCAGAAGAAAGATGAGATTTTCTACGCCTGGTACGATTGACAGTCTTGGAAACCTAGGGGGCACTTCACCTCTGTCTTGTGGGGTCCACATGAGTCAGAATCCACTCAGTGGCAATACGAGAGAGAGAGAGAGAGAGAGAGAGAGAGAGAGAGAGAGAGAGAGATGAATATTATTGACATTTACTACTAAAATTTACCTACTTAGACTTTGGTTATTGTATTTAATTCATGAGTTCAAACCCCTTTCCCTGTCTATCCATTAGAACTTTGGCGATTTGGCAAAGAAACTGCAGCTCAGCCTTAACTCCTAATGATTCAGGATTTGGAATATACTTCCCCATAAAGGAGTTGGGTGGACCTTGTCTTTTGAGTTTAGTCCAGCTCACGGAATGATTTTAGCTGTTGGGCCAGCATTGTTGTAATGGGCCCAGGCTAGCACCCTCTCAGTTGTCAACGTTTATATATGATTATAAAGAGTTTGTGCCTCTTGCCTGCCTTGGCTGGTTTCTACTTTGGCATCCCCAGTAGTGTAGAGCCAAAGGCATTAAAAGGAAATGAAACACTGTTCTATTACTGTTTATCTCTTCCCTTCCACAGAAAATAGTTTAGAAAGAGAGTTAAAGGTAGCGATTATGTTTCTAAGTGCATATCAATATGCCTTCGCTGCTGAAAGTACTCAGTAAATGCTGTTTTTATTGGTATTACCTACAGGTAAGTCAATATGGTGGTAGCTTAGGCAGAGGTCAGGTTGGTTGTATATGACTCATCTGTTTATCCCCAGATATAAATGCTTCAATATTGCTTTAGCTTGCTGGGCATAAAGTTGTGATTTAAAAGTAGATGGTATTTGTATTTTTAGAGAACCATTATCATCATTGGTTCTAAGTACTCAGTTGGTTCATAAATCTTCTGCTCGTGAAGTTCATCTTTGTTTAACTCAACTCATTGTGCTTTGCTGAGAAAAATTTAGTAGAAGCAGCTACCTGCTAGGCACTTTGCTTATTGTCTTCTCACCAGTGTCCTATGAATTGCAGTGTCTTAAAAATAAAAGATTAGAAAATTTAGTCACTTAAAACCAGAAACAAAGCAACAGGGTTGAAACCATTGATATTGAACAGTGGTCTCTGGGGAGTTCGCTAGAGGGGAGTGTTAACAAAACATAAATCTTAGTTTGCAAGTTGAACAGGGAGAGGTTGAAAATATTTAACAAGCAGACCTGGAAGATGTTCAAACAGTGGGAACCACTAGAGATCCAGATGTTCAAACAGTGGGAACCACTAGAGATCCATCTATCCGTCTGCCTGCTGGACTCCCCACCCCCACCCCCCACATTATACCAGAGGGAATCACTGTTTACTTAATGGATAGGGGAGGACCTGAGGGTCTTTGAGGAAAGGCAGAAGCTAAGGAGCCAGGGGCCTTCAGTGGGCTTAGAGTATCCTCAGTGAAGTAGTCTGATGTTTTGAAAAACCAGCCTTGCTGCCCCAGTGAGTCCCAGGAAACAGGAGGAGGCCATCTGAATTGCCTTAAGAAGGCATTTGGAGGTGGTGGATAGCTTCCTTGCTTCTCTTTCCCTTTGTCTCAGTGCTGAGCTGACTTTTGATGTGTTGGACCTGATTATCTCCCAGTAGGTGCTTGGAAAGTGTCACATTAGAATGCAGGGTTCTGGGTTTGCAAAGCACTCTGGCATGGCCACTATGTCAAGAAACACTGTGTCTGGTGTGACAGACTCAGGCGTATCCTTGTGGAGTCCCCCATCTAAACTTAGACCCCTCACCCCCACCCCAAATGAACACAGACAAACAAATCCTTGCCATCAAGTCAGTTCTAACAGAGAGTCATCCTAAGGGCTAGAACGGCCTCCGTGTATTTCTGAGGCTGTAATGGTTTAGGAGCAGAATGCCGCCTCAGCTTTCTTCCGAAGAATGGCTGGCGGGTTTGAACTGCTGACCAGTCTAAACTTGTGAACTTAAAATTGTTTCTGCTCTTGGACACTAGCCATTTGTCCTTAGGGAACAATTACCAGGGTGCTTGGCTTAATGAAATCTACTACCTTTGAGTTGATTCCAATTCATAACGACCCTATGGGACAGAGTAGAATTGCTTCATAGAATTTCCAGGACTATACATCTTTATGAACAGAAAACCTCATTTTTCCCTGAGAAGCAGCTTATGGGTTTGAACTGCTGACTTGAGGGTAGCCTAATGCTTAATAAACAGTGCCACCAAGTCTCCTTTGCCTCAAGAATTGGGTGCAATCTCAACGTCTAACCAGGGGGAAACCGTTATATGCTTTTAGATCCACGACACACAGTGTTACATATATCTTAAGAAATGACAGTTACAAAGACTACTTCAGGAATTGGGGGGAAATGCTGAGTGTGAAATGTTCGATGGGTAATAAAAGAACCCACAATTATATAGTGAGTACTATGAGTGGGCTTTCAAAAGTTCTTTGAGAAGAAATTAAAAGAGAGAATGAATTTTTTCCACACATTTTTGAAGCTCCTTTGTAATAGATGCCTTCTTTGGTGGTATAATCTGTGTAAAGTTGATTTTTTCAACTACGTTTCTCTGTGTTCCTGTTTTGGGTGATCGATGGGTCTCCCATTTCATAATTAAAATAAGAGTACCATAAAATATAGTGCTTTTAAAACCCCAGTTTTAAAGTTTCCAAAATGATGAGACAGTTTGTGCCCGGATATCTTGAATTACAACGTGGCGACACCAGTTTGGCAGTTGTCTTTGTTGCCCGTAAAGAAAGCTGCTGACTTGGAGGGATAAAAATACGAGGCTTGGTCAGCCGGAGTCTCTGGTGTGCCTGGCTCCCCCAGCCTTACAGACGCAAGGCTTCCGAGAGGCCCTAATGGGCTTGTTGAAAGGCTCTACTTGGCTTCTTATTAATGTCCTTTCCTGAGCCGTGCTGGGCTCTGCTGGCTAACCTTGTCAGAAGGTTACCAGTGGCTCTCCAGGGCTCGGCTAATTTTAAACCCTGCTGGCCAGTGCGGTGGCATTGCACTGCAGAGACACGAACGGCTCCCTGGGAGACATGGCTGGGGAAAGATGAGAGTCCAGTCCACGGTTTTTTCTCATCCTCGTGTAAGTGACCAGGCACGCTGAACAAGCAGAGAGAGCTGGGATAATGAGAGCTTTTATGGTAAAAAAAAAATCAGGATTATTAAAGATCTTTTAGCCATGTCAATGCCAGCTGATAATTGCACGGTGTGATGTGTCCTGCATGAACTGTGATAATTCTGACAGTCTGGGGCGTAGAGAGGTGGTGAGAGCCTCCTCCCGCCTGGGAACACGGCTTCGGTGAGGCTTTAACACTGGAGTGACACCGTCAATTTGCCTTTCTTCGAAATGAGCTGACTCGGGCTCTGTGGGCACTAGTTGCTCCGGGCAGTGTTGGATGGACTTGAGTGGGAGGGCTGTGTTGTCAAAGGGAAAACACACGGAACACACAGAGTCCATCTCAGCTGGTCAGCATAACTACCAGCTGCTGGCCTGGCTGCCACTCACATTGTCATTTTGAAGTCCTTTTTTAAAGCATTTGTGATAGATCGTTAATGACCGTATTGTTGTGCCTTATGACACTCAACCCTGATATTTGAAAAATGGAATTTAGACTAATGACTATAAAACAATATGAGATTTTGAGAATCCCTCCCCATCAAAATTCATTTAAAAATCGCAAATACTCCCCTACTCCCACCCCTCTACAATCTATTTTTCCCCTTGCCTGCTTTTAAGTGCCTTCCAGTTGGGGATCTAATGCCTATTAGAGCTAGCTCTCTGCCGAGAAAGGCACGCAGGATGTCCCTCACACATACAGATTTCCATGGGAAACTTCACCCACCTGGTGGGCTGGCTGCCTTGGGCTCTGGGCTTGTTGGCATGGCTGAAGGGGAGGGCTCATTGCTTGAGGCGGGGTCCACCCCGCCCATGTGTGACATAGATGCTGGGAGTGAGTGAGACGGCTGCCTTGCGTGTGCCGTGAACATATGATAAAGGACAGTGGACGCAGAATCGGTCACGTGATTGAAGTTACCTTTGTATGAAATGACCAGACGGAGCTGGGCCACATCAAGCCAGGTGCTCTCGTAGGAGGTTCACTCGGGAGTGAACTTGGGTTTCAGTTAAGGGGGGAAATAATCAACACTTAAAAAAATTAGCTTTTAAAATTTCTCAAAGGTCTGTGCCGTCCACAAATGTCATGAGCTCAGTCCTGTTGGGATTCCGTTCAGAGAAAGTGAAAGTGACGTATTATCAAGAATTGTTTGAGTAGGAATACTTGTTAGAGTCTTCATTCACCCACATCTGACTATCTTAGATAGTCAAAGGAGCAAGCAAACAAATACCAAAGCTGAAAGACCATCCCCATTGGACTCTTAAATAATGTTTTTGAAAGCATTTTCAGAGTCGCCAGGGAGCCCAGGTGGTGCTTTGGGTTATGCATTGAACTGCTAGCTATAAAGTCAAAGGTTCAGAGCTACCAGATGCTCCTCAGGAGAAAGAAGAGATGGCTCCCATAAAGATGTAAAGCCTTGGGAAGCCAGGAGGGTGGTTCTGCTCTGTCCTGTAGGGTCGCTGTGCATTTGAATGGATGGCAGTGAGTTAGGTGTGCTGCCTTTATACAGTGATGAGCCATGCTGGTAGGGAACTGAAGGAGTTAAGGGCTGGAGTGGTGGTGCGGGGAAGAGTTGTGAATAGAACATGCTTTTCTCCTTTGGGGGGGTGGTAAGTACGCAGGTAGCAGGACACTTGCTGATTCTACAGCACGGTATAGTTATTCCTTACGATGTCTGGGCATCATCCTCATCCGTTCCACAATGTTTCTATCATCCTTTAAAGTACATTTCTTGCAGCCCAACTTCTCTTCCATGCAAATATCACATGTTTGTGTTTTTTCTTCTTCTGGACCTCCCTCTCCTGTACTAGGTCCACTGTTATTTTTGAGGTAAGCTGACACCTCAGCCTGTCTGCCTGCTTGCAGCCCCCAGGCTTGTGGGGTGAGTGGCTGTGAGCTGGACAAGCAGGGGCCGCCCCACAGCTCCCAGGGATGAGCAGCTGCTGTCTACCCCCGCAGGGCTGGGCTGTAGGCAAGCTGCAGCTGGGCTCAGGGTTGGGATGTCACAGGCTCAGGGACATTCATTAAGACCTCAGATGGTGACTCAGCCGGGGAATGGGGGGCAGTGGGGCAGCCTGAGACTCTAGAAACTGCAGAGTTGGTGGTTGAGGCTGGAGGACAACTAGTGAGGGATTGGGGACTAGAGGAAGGTTTGGAAGCCAGGGAGCTATTAGTTCCTTCTTGGGGTCTAGTGTCCGATGGAAACCACCTGTATAATTCTTCCAGCAGAGGTGAATGTTACTAGTATTTTATGCCGGAATAAATCTAGCAGTTATCTATTGGTCTGTGCCAGGTTGAGGCTGGGATAGGGGGAGGGTGCAGAGATGAATGGCTCTGAGTCCTCTCAGATAGGGAATCAGTGGTCCTTCGCCGTAGTTGTATATGCTTATTCAACAGTTATTTGAGAGCCTACCCTGTGTCAGATATGGTCCCAAGACGTGTCTGCACACATACCTCTAATCTATACGCATACCGATAAGTGGTTTGTGTAATAACTGCTGACGATTGAGCCACCTCGTGCATACTTTACCCAGAGCACCTCATTTCATCTTTGCAACAGGTAGATAACGTTAGTTCCCATTTTGCACCGGCAGCTGAGGCTCAGCTAGTAAGCGGAGGACGCAGAACTCGGCGAACCCTTGGCAGTCTTTAAAAACTTCTCAGCCAGATGGACTCTGCGACTCCTAAATCGGTAGGAGAACCTGTCGGGAAGAGTTAGCAGTATGTCTTTTAGCCCCAAACAAAACAAAACGAAAAAACAACTTTTTTTGATCACTAACAATTTGTTAGATATTGTGGGTGACGTGGAAGCATGCTAGTACCTAGGAACTTCCTGATGAGCAGGGAGATGGGATCTTGAGGACAGCGTGAAACGCATTGGGAGTGCTGGGGGGCACAGAAGTGACCACTGAGTGGTTAAGCCGGTGGGGACCTCTCAGACACAACCTCAGTGGCTTTGGGTCTTGAAAGGGGCCAGGGGATGCTCTTGAAGTGAGGAGCGGGTTAGAGGAGAATCGGTTGGACCCAGGCGCCTGCACTGGGGCTGGGCCTGGGGCTGGGTGGGGAGAATAGGCCGAGTGCGACGTCAGGATACACTGTGGAACAACAGTTGTGTGACTAGAACGGAGTGGGCACTGAGCAGGTGGCTGAAGAAGCGGGCTGAGGCCAGCTGGCCAAGGGCCCTGGGTGCCCCCGTGGGCATTTGGGTCCTGAAGTGGGTGGGTGATGGAGTCTGCTGAAGGATTTCAGGGAGATGTGTGAGAAACATCAAATTTGCCTTTGAAGAAAACCTGACTGGCTGTTGAGTGGAGCAGGAGAAACTTGCTGGACTCCTGTGTCTCCCAGGAATTCTGGGTTAGTTCTGCTGGCAGCAGAGCTGGGGAGGCCTGTGTTGGTAAGAAACATCTTCGCATTCCCACCTGTAGCCAGGCGTGGCATCCTGGCAGGGCCAGCTTATTGGAGACGGTGCTGTTGGTGAGGTGGGCTGCTTATGCAGGAGGTGGAGCCGGGACAGCCAGCCCAGGTCAGAGCCAGGGTCCACGGTGGGAGCAGAGGCACGGGGCAGAGGAGACAGGAGGGAGCAGAGCTGAGAGAGGAAGGCTTTCCTGCATGTTCTTTATGACTGCGTGGACTCCAGGAGGGGAGGAATGTGGTTGACGAACTTCCTTGTCCTTTGGTTCATGCCTAAGGAAGAAGCCCCCCAAAACCCAAACCCTCAAACTCACTGCCAAGGTGGAACTGTCTCAGTGGGTTTCTGAGACTGTATTTCTTTATGGGAGCAGAAAGTCTCATTTTCCACAGACCGACTGGTGGTTGGTTTCGAACTGCTGACCTTGAGGGTAGCAGCCTGGTGCATAAATCCACTGTGAGACCAGGTCTCCTCCTTCCTCAGCAGCCATAATATTGTGTGGGTCCTGGAGTTCTTTCTGGATTTTCTAGAGCACCTTTAAGTAACGCGGAGTACGCGGCCTGTGTGTCTGGGAAGTATTTTTGTTGTGTGCGTCTGTTGCCTGTGGGCCTATTGCATCAGATGTCTGGAGTCAACTTAAAGGGGTTGGACCCAGAGGGGAAATGCCCTGGGGGGAGGGAGAAGGCGGTGGTGGCAGTCTTTCGTAGGTGTATCTAGGAATGGATTACATTTTAAGCAGAACTTGGGCCTGTGAGGATTCAACCTTCTTCCGCCAAGGTTAGTGGGACCCGTGGGTGGAAGTGACCCCGTGAGAGACTCAGCCCCTGTGTGGACTGGGGAGTCGCAGAAGGAGTCAAGCTGTGACCTCTCTCTGTTTCACCTGGTAGAATTGAGTCACTTGTTTGACAAGGAGGGTGGGGGTGGGGTGGTCAGGTTGAGGCCGGAGGAGGCCTGATGGCAGCGGACCACCCTGGACCATGAAGAAGAAGAGAGGTATTATGTCAGAGTTGAGAGCATCATAACTGGATGCCTCCCCTCTCGGTTGCCCCTCCCTTTGGGGCAGGAGGTCTTGCCCTACTGTGAACTAGTGTAGAGGACTGCCTTGAGTGAGTGTTGAAGTAATATCTGTTCATTTGAATGAGTGACCTATTGTCTGCAGGGGTCCAACAGCTGTCCTCTTGGCCTGCCTCTGCCAATTGCTAGTCACCCATGCCAAGATCCTCTCTCCTGCTGAGCTTGAATTGCATGTAAATCAAAGACCGGGTGTCAATTTGGAGGGAGGAGATGGGAGGTGCCTTTAAATGTCCCCCCAAATTCCCCGTGTCTTAGTGGGAGGGCTGGTGTTGCCATAGGCTTGTCCCTGTGGCGTCAGTAGCTGCTAGTTCTCATTTCAGGCAGGGGACTTGGTTGTACCAATGACTAGCAGGAGCCCATGGCCATCTGTGAACCAGGCATGCCATAAGCCACAGGGTGTCAGAAAGTTGGTGGGAAAACGGAATGACACGATAGTGGAATTTTCCCATGGACCTTTCTGCAGCCCCTTGGTATTTCTGGTTTGTT